CTGAGTGGAACTTAAGGTTGCCTTTCTTTTTTACTTTATCGCCCCAAAGCCCTGAGGGACTATTTGGCGCGCCGACGAATAAAAATAAAGGTATAATGCTCAATATTATTGTCGAGGAGCCTACACAACAGCGAGCCAGCTTTCGTTCTATGTGGACAAAATTAACTGCCAACGACCATTGGGCTGGAGAGGAGCGAGGGCTGTGCCTGTGGCTAGGCTGGGCGGGCCACTTGGGTCTCTATCGATGTCCAGGCTATGCGGCAATGCCCCGAAGTAATTTTAAATAAAATATTTATAAACGTATTTGTGCATTGAAGTGCGACCGTTGTCATTTGCCTGCATGCGCAAGCAATATAGAAAATAATCACATTAATGAGCCTTACAACAAATGAGGCGTGTCCACCAGCCAGCAAAGCAAAGGCAAAATGTGCTCGCAAGGAAAATGGCAAAGGATAAGTAAAAGGCAATGGCAAAAGGCGTTCGTTGTATGCCTTGAGCCGTTTTATTAAAATAATAAAGTTCTAATTTAATTATGCCCCCCAAAAAGAAAAGACAGAAATATGAAGTACGAGGTACTTTTCATTTGATAACTCACGCAATCCAACCCACACCCACATCCACTCCCACTGCCACTCCACACCCAACCCGTTTGCATGGCATTGCCTTAATTAGGAACGGTCGTATAACCGAAAAATCAACGCGTCCTGCGGCGTAGAGTGGGTTCAGTGGCGGGTTGGCACAATAAAGGACCATAAAGTGCTAATTGAATAAAACGGCACATGACTTGCATAACTTATTATGAAAAATATATATTTTTTGCCAGCTTGGTTGCGTCATTTCTATGCACAGACCGAGGGTGTAGTAGCCCCTTCCCATCCCATCCAATCCCATCCCGAGCCGAACCGAACCTATCGCGCCTCGAGCGAGCGCGCAAATTCATTTTCATAAATTTAAAAACGCACTTTAAGCAGCCGCCAAACGCTTAGAGATATGCCAAGCAGAAGGCAGATACTAAATCGAGAGACAGAGCGCGAGAGAAAGAGAGAGAAAGAGAGAGGCGTTTAAGGCGCCCAAAAGGATATTTAGCTGGCGGAAATATTTTTACGTTTCGTTTAACGTGCCAAAGATGGCGCAGACAGACAGGCAGACGGGCAGACAGCCAACCTAACCAACCAGCCAGCCAGCTAGCCAGCCAGCCAACCAACTAACCATCGTGCTTACCAAAGTCTCAACACGCCTTCAAAGCGGCTACAAAAGTTGCAAGGCCCACGTAAAACTAATTTAACCCGCACCGTCCACAGGCGCCAACGCTGGCAATGGCCATGACGGTGTTGGCCACTTTTGGCGTGTTGCGCTAAATTAGTCGAGCCAGTCCAAGTGCACAAAAAAAAAAAAAAAAAAAAAAAAAACAAAAAAGGAGAAATGTTAGAGCCATGCACAGTAAAAAGTGATTTTACCTTGGGGAAATTTTTGTAACAGTTTTTAATTTGTTATGCGCTACAGCTATATAGCTATGGCTATATAGTCCAAGGTGGATGAATGGGGCAGTTGCATTGTTTGGGAGTGCTGGTAACAATTAGTAATAGCGAAAAGCGAAAGGGCCTACGTGTACGCTATAAAGCAAATTGCTTGGGCAGTAGAAGTAGGAACACTCGAGACTAAAAGGGATGCTAACACTATTTTACTTTAATCGCTTTTTCATGTGTTGTCCGACACTCTACACTTTTTTGAGTCTATGGACAGTTGGTATTCCCATATCCCGACTAAATCATCCATCAACATTTTTATTAATTGAGGCAGACATGTCGTTAGTTTAATTAATTTAGACAGTGTGTTTGTCTGCTTTCCCCAAAACTTTGAAAAGTAGCACCTTTTCTTGGTTTCATGTAATAATCGATTAAAATCAAATAACAATTAAACGAGATAACTAATTATTATTAGGATTCTTTCAAGTATATAACCTATTCAAATCTTCTAAAGTTAAAATAATTGAAGAATTGATTATATAAATTAAATTAATTACTTATATATTGCCCAAAAATGTAAACACATTTTGTACCCATTTGGGGGTAAATATTGCAAATTTTCTTTAAATGGAAGGTGTATTCATATACAAATATTTCCGATTTTATATATATATATAGTAATAAAATGTTATAATAAAGATCGCTAACAATATTATCAATATCTTTATTATAAATAATTTATCAGATTGTAGCCCAACTATGTTAGTCACCAAATGCTTTCAAATTTTTATTTTGGTTCATATGGGACTAAAACATTATTTTATCTAACAATTTAATGATTTAACTATTGCATATGCGTGGCTATATCTTACCTATATCCCCCTATCTAGTGCCTGTTGGTGTTGTAGAAACTTATTCATTTAGAATGTTAAGTTGAAACCATTTAGATAAACTTAGCGACAAACGGCCTCTACCTAGGCATGTAAACCTATGCCAGTTTGTACAAATGTCCTTAACTAGGTCCGGTTTATAAACACTCTCAACAGTTCTTAAAAAGCTTTTAAAAATCGCAACTGCTTGACTTCAATTCAACATTCAATTCTAAGACTCCTCTGTTGTTTGATGTGTAGGTCATTAGAGAGTCATTGCAGCCTAATTGTTAAACTCTCAATTGTTTGGTAGGCTATCGTTAGGAGCCCTGCCGGCCATTTCATTAGCATTGTGGCCGGGCAGTTGGTTAAGGGTACGCGATTTTTAATATGCCCAACACGTTTCAATTGTTAAAGTTACCGCCCGCTGCTGCCTTTACTTTCGCCAGAGCCCCTCCAGGCATATGTTGGCAACGCTGGTCATGTCACCAACAACAACAGCAAGAGCAACAAAAACAACGTTCTGGATGGCCTGTCGGTGGTAGTTGCAATTGAAACGACCTCCCTCCTCTCCCACCCCTCGACAGCTTTATGTATTTGCGTTTTATGCGGCAATGGCAACGCAAATATAATCATTGTTATCGCGCTGTTCCATGGTCCCAACCCAACCCAACCCATCACATCCCATGCCATGCCATCTCATCCTATTCAATTCCATCCTGGCTGTCCGCCCGTCTGTCTGTCTGTCTGTCTGTCTTGCTGTTGGCTGTCAGCGCCAGTACCCGCCATTGATGTCATTTTAAAAGGTACTCCTTAATGCATATTAATGTCAATATTAATGTCAATATTTGCGCTTCTAATGACCAGAGCCGCTGCTGGCGTCGTTGCTGGCTTTGTTAGAACTCGTAGTAGTTTGTCGCGCGATTTGATGCGTGTCAGCGCTAACGATGTCGGTGGACGTGCGACCTGACATTGAACATACTACTACTACATCCTATATAGTTAAATGCTCGTTCTACTGCAACTACAACTGCAGACTGGATGGATTTTTGACTAGGTAGTCCTCTCAGAGAGGAGTCCAGTGCTTGATTAAAGGCCGCACACCATTTTGTTGACATTTGGAAAGTTCTGAGCACTAATAAGATTTGAGCTAGCTCGTAAAGGCAGCAAAAAGGTATGCGGACAAACTTTGCCTTTTACCATTACAGCAACATTACAACAACACTAACAACAAAAGTGGAGCAGCATTACCAAAAAGGTAGGCCAGCAGCAGGCAGGTGGTCATCCCGCATCGCGTCCCAACAGCTGGCAAAAGTCAAACGTTAACTAAGCGCCGAAAAACTTCAGACACAAAATGCGACGAAGCGTAAGTAAACTCCTAAGAAATTCAAATGAGCGTAAGCGCAAAAAAAGAACACACAAAAAAAGAAGAAAGAAATACGAGTATGCCAAAAAGCCAGCGCACAGACTAGAATTTTAATAAATGAAGTCGTTTTTCTTCCTGCCGCGATGGGGTTGGGGCCAGGGCTGGGGGTAGTGCACCTTTTTTGCGACTCCGGGTAGGGCAGCTCTTAGTTACGGGTTGTTTGATAAACGCCAGATACGCGAGTGCATGTGTTAGCCGAGGAAAGGGCGGGCAGAGGGCGGACCGAGGGGGGCATGGAAGCAACGATGCTTATCATGAATGAATCAAAGATAAATGCACATACGAGTATAGTGGAAGTTCGCAAAACTATTGGAGAATAACGTTTAAGCCAAACATTATGACAGAAAACAGAAAAAAAATAAATTCCACAATCAAATTAACTTTAAAGTGAGGTTTGTTTGAAATTGTGAAATATTTATTTATTTTATTTAAAGGGAGGCAAACAAAATTGCCAAAACTTAGTGAAGCTGCTACATGGAGCAGAAAGCAAAAAACACCAAAAAGACTTGCAATTCAAATAACAACAAAAACCAAAATGTTTACCAAACAAAATTCCATTTCAATTAGAAATTTGAATAGAATTAAAAATATAGCATTAAATGCCTAATAAAACAAGATTGAATACATGAAGTTGATTAATTGAAATTAAATTTGAGGAGATAAGCGATCGCCTATATATTCTCTGCATGTATATTCCCTGCTCTGCAGTCTAACCTACGACTTGGCCTTGTCCAGCAGTCTTGTAGGAAACAATCGAGAGCTATTCGTTTATTCAAGTTGCCTTTCTTTTATAAGATTTAATTTAAAATGTTTATTTGAACGCCTCTGACTACTATTGGCTGTGATGCGGGGCATAGCGGGCCGAGTGGCAAATAAAACTCCTCCATCGAGGCGCAGACATTTCTTAGACATAATTGTAATTAAATGAGATTTCTACTACTTAGGCTTTTTTTTTTAGCTTAAAAGGCTCCATTATAATGTTGTATATAGTATTATCACCTTTGCCGACATCTCGTATTTATCTAAATAAAATAAGTAAATAAATATCTGTATCACATTGTGCGGCTGTTGCCTTTAAACGTTTTGAGAAAGAAAATCCTCAGCAACCTGCACCTTACAGTCTTTTTTTTTGACGTATAGAGACTGTCAGATTATAGATAGCATAGAAGCAGAAATCATACTCTATACGTACTATATTAAATACTATACTTCATATTATGAAAATACTTTCTCACTTACCGTCTTTAATGGCATAGCGCGGATTGCTCATGTCTACTTTCGTCTGATTCTTTATCCAGAAGATAGTAGGCGTGGGATTGCCAATCGCTTTGCATTGCATGAGCACCGTGTGACCAACTTCGATGACGCGTGTGCCCGGACCTTGCGTTATGACTGGAAAGCCCGCGGGTGTTTTATCGCCTAGAAGAAAAGCAAGCAGAGGGAAAAGGGTTAAATTATAAAACAAAAAAATTTATATATATAGTATGCTCGATTGTATGTAGAAGGGTAAAAAAATGGCACGCTGCTTATATAGTTTAAGTGGCGAGGGGAGGAGGTTGGCGAAAAACAATATGGCGCTTTCAAACACGCACTCACACACACATACACACTCGCGTACACACAAGCAGCCAATGTATTGTTTTACATGACGCTTTTATAAACGGAAGTTGCCATTTTTAAAAGCCCGCCGTCAGTTGCTTTTGTTGGTATTGCTGTTGCAGCTTTCTACGCCATTTTGTAAGTCAAACAATGGCGTGCATGTTAACACATACACACGCGTAACACGTGTGTGTGTGTGTGAGTTGTGTTGAGTTTGTGTTGTGTTCTGTTGTGTTGTGAGAGTGGGGTCAGCATTTTCTTTCTTTTGCGTTCCATGACATTTCTTTTGTGTTTGTTTTGTTAGTTTGGCTTTTGTGCGGCGACTTTAAACTGCACATACGCGTATATGAGTAGCATGGCATTGTTGTATCAAATCGGCTTAACTGTAAGTCACCTCCATTGCTCCCCGCCCTCCTTTTAAGTTTTTAGGTACTTTTTTTGTTGCCGCATTAAAGAAATGCATAACTGGAAAGTGGCTGCGGCATTCCGCGCCGGCTGCATCTTGCAAATGAACAAAGCTCATTTACATTTTCCAATTAAATCCGCTCTGAGGGCAGGGTGGAGTGGTGTTGCAGTTGCAAGTACAGCTGCAGCTGCCATTGCCACATCTGCCGGATGTTCTGTCCTCTACTGTTGCTTTTGTTGTTGCCGCTGTTTTCGTTTTCATTTTCGCCGCTTGCTAAAACATTTAACAGCAGCGAAATCTACAATAAGCGACGCTCGTCGCCTCGCGGAGTTAGCAGCCACAGAGCCACTTCTCTGACTCCCTACGAGTATGAGCGAGAGTCGTTTTAAAAGTTCTTAATACAACATTAATAAATGCAAGAGCTTGAGCTCAAAGCTCAGTTGGTTTGTTTACTATTTAATTGGTGTTAGAACTCTATTGAGTCTATGCTGAAGAGAAGTTTTAAAATACAATAATACTGATTAAAGAAAATAGCTGCCAAACAACTAAGAGTTTGGAAGTAAATTAATGATCCATTACTTTTCATAAAGCTTCCTTTCTCTAATAAATGCGCTACTAGGGGAATAGCTGACTAGATTCCCACCATTGCGAAAGCCAGTTGTTCATTGCAGTTGCCCTCAACGTTCCTTTGTGGCTCAGGACCAATATAAAGTAAAGCAAGAATGTAAATGAATAATATACTATATTTCCTAAGCTTGTTTCTGGATCCAGATTCCCGCTTGCTTGATCTGGAAGTCATCTACATTTACGAGTGTGTCTAGCTTTGAATGTTTCATGAAGATCCTAATAGAGTCTGCCGCTTCCGTAGAAACAAACTTTCACTCTTCTTTAGGGGGCACAAGAGTTTGGAAGTGATCTGGAAAATGTATCTCCTATCTATTACGATTCTGACTCATGAATATGTTTGAGGGTTCGAATCATTTGATTTAATGATACTATATGCCTCAAAATATCACATTTTCTTCTTGTATTCGAAAAATGGAATTAATGGTTATTGTAAAATCTAAAATAGAGTCGAAAGGGATTAGCCGGGCGGGTATATCTGTTGCTCATTTAAAGCGGGTTATAGAATTATTTGTTTTTAGTAGCCTGGACTTCTGTTAGCTTAGGAGCGCCTTTACAATAAAATGTTGCATTTATTAATACAGGAAATATAAGACAGTTTTCTCCTTCTCCTCACTAGTAACGACCTATCTTGAAGAGAGGTATTAACGTGCATTTAAATTTCCCTTCTGATATTGAAGAAGTCGACGCTTTTCTTTGTATCTTAAGCTCTGGTAATGAGAGCCGATGTAGAGCGGATTTCTAAAATTGGAGCTTGCATCTTTGATTGGAATCCTTGTATTCAGAGTCACTTCTAATGAGAGCTTACTTAGGATTCGTACCCCCGATAGTGAAAAAGTAGTCCTGTTGCTTTGTAAAGTTCTTAAGCTCTGGTAATACCGAGACTACCTTCGTGTCAGTCTGTATTTTTTCATATCTATGTATGTGCCTGTGGATGTGTTTGTGTGTTTTCAGCGTGAAATTAAAATTTAACAGAGACAAAAAAGGCGCTGCATATACATACACATATGTATATATAAACATACATATATATGTATATAAATACTGCAGCACACACGTACAAATGCGCATACATATGCATAAATGCAAAACTACAATAATAGCAACAACACGAAACAACAACAACAACAACAACAACAACAACAACAGCATCAGACACACAACATTGATGTTGACATTTGACGTTGCCGTCGGTTGTCCTTGTCGTAGCCGTCGGTATAATTGTTGTTGGTGCTGCTGCTTCTGTTGCCTTCCTGTCTATCTGTCTGATTGTCTGACTGTTGTTTCAGCCATTTTTGCCATTTTGCTGCTGCTCTTGTCGCTGGTTTGCTGCAAAGTTTGCTTTTAGTTGCCTTTTTGTTTTTGCATTTCGTATATTTTTTATGGCCATGTCACTTCTTACAAAATGCATAACGAATAGCAGAAAACTGTGCCAAATTAACAAATAAAACTGCAACATTATTATTATTATTCTGTTTTTTTTTTCCCCCCTTAAATAACATTCGGAGAAAAGTGCTTTCTGTTCGTTTAGTGATGGGACAAAGAAAGAGGACTGCAACATATTTTAGAGAGATTGGTGGAGACAGTTTTGGGGCAATTTTGTGTCGCTTTCTCTCATTTTTAAAACTATGCGCGGAGTTGAAAATAAATTTAATTCCAAGCGAGCAGTTAAATGACAGAAGAGCGACAAAAGTTATAAATGGCTTTAAAGAAGAGTTAAATAAATGTGGGGATAGATGACGTTCAAGAATGCAGACGCTTTAAATTTGGGAATGAATATTATTTAAATGCAAAGCTCATACAAAAATGCCTATTCCATTAAAAAATGGAAAAACTGCATTTCGTTGGAAAAATTGATTTCCCTGTTTGTTAATCAAACCAATTTTTAGCTTTACAGCTTCTATGACAGCGTTTTGTCAGACACCATACAAATAGTATAACCGCTTTAACAATGTTGCAGTTAGGCGTCCGTCCTCTCTCTCTCTATCTTCGTATCTAACTATCTATCACTCGAACTAAAAGTTATAGTTATAGCTGTTGTTGTTAGAGTCCAGACAACATTGTTGTCGCCTATGCGCCGTTGAAAATGTAATGAAAAATCTAAAAGCGTACAATGCACACTTTATTTACAGCAAAGAAAGGCGTTTGAAGTAGAGATGGGAAAGTTAGTAATTTAAAAAAAAAGATAAGGTATCACTTCAATATCGGATTTTTGGTTTAGAAAAGCGCAAAGAGCGATGAAGAAAAATATAATTTGTTTAGAAGAATGGTTAAACAGATTTTTGGCTCATTTTGAGAAGCGCAGATAAAGACTTTTGAACTAAAACTGTGCAAGAATTAGAGAATTTTTAGAAGAATAATAAAAGTTATTTGTTTCTTTTTTGAGAAGCGCAGAGAATGAGCTTTGTTTTCGACATTTCTATATTTTATTTCGAATCTAATGGAGTTTTTAACATTTCTTCTTTTGATTGTTTTTGATCGTAATGTAAAGTGGACCCTAAGATCACATTCTATACTTTTTAAATGTCTAATAGATTTGAAATTTCGCTATTTAGGCACTTTTTAGAACATGGTTTCTTTTGATATGATATATTTTAAATGTTGAAATTTCTTTTATTTTTCATGAATCGTGAACTTGTGTCTTTCGACACTTCTATAATTTATTCCGAATCTAATATATTGGCATTTCTTTATTTCTTGAGTTTCGTAAGCTCTTTTTATCTGTGCAGTTTTTTGTTATAAAAATGATCTTCTTCAGACCATAGATGTGTTTTTTTCGATAACTTGTTTATCTAAAACAAAAAGTGCTCACATTTGTGAATTTCTCCTGGGTTTTGCATTCACATTCTTGTGGCATTTGTTGTGCGAAATCACTTGAAGGAATGTCATTTGAAATTCGATTCCATTGTTGTTTGTAGCCGGTATAGACTGTTTTGTGCGTGAATGGGAATGCATTTATTATAAAGCCAAGCGAGCCGTGAAGGAGTGTGCGGCGTCAGCGTCGGCGGCGGCCATTGCTGTCAGTGACTGCCAAATTCATGTGGCTTTTCATGCATTTCAATTAAGCTTGTGTGCTGCTGCTGGTGTTACTCCTCTGGCTTCTGGTATGGCACTAGTGCAGTGGTCGTCATTGTCGCCACCGTCATGCAAGTGTGAAAAGCTTTGGCAAATGTGTTAACAATGCAGACCAAACAGCAGTTCCCGCTCCACTCCACTTCACTCCCCTCCACTCCACTCTCCACCCACTCGGCGCAGCCCAGCCCCGCTCAATCTCATACTCCACTCCAGCAGCGCTGTGTAATACTCGACTGAGTTTGGTGACAGCATTTAATGAATTAGCTAATAAAAGCGAAGCCAAGGACCCATTCGCTTGCCTGCCACCTGACTTTCTTTCATACTCGCTTACTCGTATATGTCTTGCTGGCGACGATAAACATCATTAGCTCGCACAAAAGCGCTTATTTGCATGTAGTCTGCTTTTAGGTGTCGCTGCCAGTGCCACTGACCCCCGCACAAAAGCTGCCCCACCTCCCATCCCTCAAAACAACAAACCGAAACAGAAGAGACCCAAAAGGACCCATCAGTGGGTGTTGGCTGTTAGCTGTTGGTATTATTGAGTCGCTTTCAAAAGGCATTTTCACGCCGTGCCGCCGTGTTTTCTTTTCTGTCGTTTTTTCATCTTGCGTTCTTGCTTTTTTGTTTCTATTGCTCAAAGGAAAAATATGTTGTTTGCAGCGCGTTTGGAATTTTACGTTCGTGTTGCCAAAGCAAACAGCGTAAACAGACAAAC